TCTTTTGGGCCTTATAAACTTCGTCAAGAGAAGGTAAATTTTGCTCTACATCTTGTAAACCATGAATATCAAATACAACAACCACCAACGGCACAGAATCCTCATCCAAAAAATTCACAAATTTTGGAATAACATGTTTGTTAGAAATATGAAAAGAGAGCGAAAAAAGAAGAAGAGCTCAAGAAAGGGCATCAGCATTAGCCATAAAACCCCCCGGGTGATGAACAACATTAAAATTATATATTTGAAGCTTTAAAGCCCACTAAGTAATACAACTAACCAAATTTTTCCGTTTCAATAATGAAGTAATTACAGCATGATCACCTTCTAGTAATGTCTAAAAACCATATAAATATGCATAAAGTTTCTCACAACCCCAAACTACTGTTAAACACTCCTTTTTTGTCGTATAGTACTTCACCTCTTTTAGTTATAATATGTGGTTGATATGTCCAATGGGATGGCACTAATCAAACACACTCAAGCTTTTTTGCATCAATACACCTCTAAGACCGATATCAGAAGCATCCACGTGTAAAATGGAAGGTCAAGTGTAGTTAAGATATGCCAAAACTGAAGGAGTTGTCAACAGCTCTTTTAGATCCATATTTGCTTGCTCACAGTCTACAGACCAAATGAAAGATGACATTGACGACTTTAACAATGCTTGCAATAGTGCAATGTGATTAGAAAGATGATCAACAAAAAGAGCGAGATACTGGACCTTGCTCAGGAAGTATTGCACATGATTCACACACTTTGTAGTAAGGCACTTTAGAATAGCCACAAATTTGTCAAGATCAACTTGCAAACCCTCATGAGAAATACAATACCCAAAATAAGTTGTGTCTTTGGACTTAAACACGCACTTCAATTACTTCAGCTTTAAACCAACTTCTCGTACCCGATCCAACACCTTACGAACATCACAAACGTGTTCCTCCTATATCCCTTCTGAGTGGATCAAAATATCATCAATGAAGTTAGTAGTCATCTTTGGTATATCACAATTATTGCTGAAACTATGACGCTCGAATCCTTACTGGTTGTAAGTTCTACTGCCACGTATATTTTAGATATATTTAACTGCTACCCGATGTAATTAGAGACAGGGGCAACAAAATCAAGTTTTGGAGTGGTTACTTGGACCAATCAGAGATTATTGATGTCGATCTGATATCCTGCTGGTCTTCTTGAACTATACCCTTAGACTGATGGCATGTGGTCTATTTTCCACAGAAGTTCAGATCATGTCACCTTTGAGACAGGTACTTCTTTCGTGTCACATTCAGAGTGAAGGCTAACAATGGATTTGTTACACTGCTTGCTCTTGCTGTGGACTCCATACTTGATATGTTTAAGTGCTACAAGCATCATTACTTGGAGAATATATAATACAGAGAGAATGTTCTACTTTATGATGTACAGACATGTACAAAGACAATGTTCTACGTTATGACTGAGTCGGCCTCTGGCAATTGAGCTAGAAAAATATATCTCCATTCCATGGCATTGTTATTATTTTAAGGGTGACTTTCATCAAACATTACTAATTGTCCCATGGGGTTTGGGACAACTCCCGTGTCACAGCATAAGTTATTTTTACATCTATAAGAATGAATAGCCTATAGAATCTATTTTAAAAGTTTCAATTGCAAATAAATATATGACTTGGTAATTACACATTAAACTTTGTTTTACCATTTGATTCTATCCTTATTCCTTTAAAACTAATTCTAATTAGATAAACCATTTGCTATTGTATATAAATTAAGGTTTTTGGGCTAATTAATAGGCACATTTCTTATTCCTT